ATTAGGTGTCTTCATGGACAAACCAGAAGAGACCCACGGGTGAAAACAGACACACACACACAGACCAGAGCTGAACAGATACAAGGAGAGCCACGAAATCACAGTAGAGCTGAGCTTAAATTCTATTTTAATTGGTAAATGCACATAATCAAAAAAAAATACTTTAAATCCTTTGTGCACCAACTGAATCCAGTGGAATGTGGGAGCTGTTGTTTTACACAAGGAGAGGAACTCACAAGCACCAGTATACACATGTGGCCACCAAATCAGAACGGCAAAGCTTGGATGACAACACACTCAAACTGAATGACATCACTTCCTACGAAGACATCTTTACTCCACTATAGCTTCACATAGCGGATAGTTATTTGCTGCTAAACTGATGTTTGAAATATGTTCTTGCATAGTCCACCTTTAAACAAAGACGATAAATGATAATTCAGGGGTTGGACTTATGTCAAGTGTGTGTGTTTTTTTTTGTTTTTTTTTTTAGTTTAACAGAAGTATATAATTTGCCAAAAACAAACTAAGATTTGTTTTTTACTGGTTAAGTTGCAAATCATATTCTTCATTAATTTCTAGTCTATGAAATGGTGGGAAAAGGCCCATCTGTTATGTTTCCACTCCCATACAAAACATAAATATAATAATAATAATATAAAAAGGCACCACCACCACCATCCAGGAATATATTGAAGAACCTTTACTCGACAGGGGTGTTTCCTTTTTTTGATGTTATGTAGCTGCCTTTTGTGCATGTTTGCACACTTCCATCCATCCATCCATTATCTATACACCACTTAATCCTCACTAGGGTCGCAGGGGGCTGGAGACTATCCCAGCTGACTCAAGGTGACAGCAGGGTTCATCCTGGACAGGTCACCAGTCTATCACAGGGCTACACTTAGAGACAGACAACCAAGCACACTCACATTCACACCTACGGACAATTTAGAATCACCAATTAACCTCAGCATGTTTTTGAACTGGGAAAGGAAGCCGGAGAACCTAGTGAGAACCTACACAGGCACAGGGAGAACATGCAAATTCCACACAGAAAGACCCGAGGCCAAGATTCAAACCCAGGACCTTCTAGCAACGGTTCTCACCACCGTCCTTAAACAAAGAACATGTAGCTTTTGTTTCTGCTTTGAACATCAAAGAATATAAACATGTTCCAGTCGACTCCAAGGAATATAATTATGAACCCGTAGATGTGCAAAATATGGGTTCTTTAAAAATGATGGCCATTATTTTTCTTTTGCTTAATTAATCCCCTGTTCCATATCTCGCAGTCTGGTTTTTATAAAGCTTCAAAGAGGAAGTACCGCATCCGATACACCTGTGATGTATGAAGCTCAGATTAACTAAACTTTTGACAGTATCTAATTATCATACATAATGAATAACCTTTAAATCTAACCATCAGAAGCAACCAGCTCTACTCTAAAGCCTTTCTTTATAAATGCCCTGTTGGCAAAGTCTTAAAAAGGAGAAATATCAACAATCACAGATTCACATTTTTCAAATTTGTCACACAAATTATAGCCCATCCCTGTTGTTTTTAGGAATTTGTGAAACTGGCTTGTAAAAAAAGGGCAATAAAAAGCCCCTTTAAAAACATAATTTCAACAAAAAGGTTTCACATGGTGGTTTTCCATGTTGGACTTTACATAAAATGTTTTTTTTTTTAAAGATAGAATTTGATAGTCATAATTAAAGACTAATCGTAAGTTGCAGCAACATTTCAAAAACCCCTTGGGCAAAATCTGTCTTTAAAGAAGCAGTGAAAGCCATTTCTCTGGGAATTTCTTCATGAATAAACAAAAATCCTTCTGTGGCACACAAATCAAAATAAACATATTCATATATTCATACTGTCACACACAAGCAAGCTCTCATACTGTAACTACACGCACACATACAGAGTTATTTCCCCCCTTATTTGGCTTGGCACAGAGTTATCTCTTCAGAGCCTAAACACAGCACAGAGCCAAGCTGTAAGCACAGCCACTACTGTCACATAAACCCACACATTCACACGCAAATTACACACAGGAAGTACTCGATACGGGGCCAAAAATACATCACAAACCTTGCATCACCTTCCTCTCTGTGTGTCCACTGCTCCACTTTGTTCCAAAGCTGGGTGGGGGTGTGGGGTGGGGGTGTGGCATGCAGCAGATAATGGGCCAATTGTAAGTGATTACAGTTAGTGCCAGCCAATCAGCACAGCCCAGCACTGGCCCGCAGCCAATAGCAGTATGTTCGGTGCAGCTGGGGGGAGGGCGCTCTCACTCACACAGGAAAAGAAATGTGGCCATGATATGAAACTGGTGGAGGAGAGATTTACTTGGTGTACTTGTGGATTGTGTTTAAAATATCTCACGAGGCTGAAGTATTTCACTAATGATAAAGACGCTTCATCACAGGGGACAGCCAGTAAAATCTCTCTTTGATTTTAATTTCATCATTTATTCTCTTCATAGGTTTCACTTTTTATTTTAGGTGGACGTCCTTAAACTAAACTACACACTGGATTCCAAAGAGGAACTGAGTCATCTTTAAATCTAATTACTTCAACTTCACTGATGTCAAGCCATTTTTTTTTGCTTTAAAATTTAGATTTCACAAGTGCATGCTAACTTTTGTAAATTCGAATAATGTTTGAAACTATGTGGAAAAACAAGATGTGAAGACCTACAGTCGTCCTCAAATGTATTTATATCCTTCCATTTAAAAAAATGGGGCAAATTTCCCGTTGTTCCTTCAATTACTTGGAACTTGAAAAAGTACTAATAAATAGTAATTTGCTAAATTATAATTTAGTGAAATACGACATTGCTTTTGAATTGTGGTTGAAAAGAATAATTAAAAAACAAACAAACAAACAAAACTGTCCTGGACAAATTGGAGCACTTTGCTGATGAGCAGTGGGCAAAAATCAAAATACCTGTCAACAGGTGTAGAAGTCTGATTGAGAGTTACAGAAAACTCTAGATTACAGTGATTGCCTCAAAGGGTTGTTCAACAAAATCTTAGTTTACAGGTCCCATCATGCTTGTTTGGGTCTATATTTCCGTCTGTTTTTTTTTTTTTGATAATGCAGAAAGGTTTTACTTGAATATGAATGTGAGTTATACCTTTGCACCATCAACTAATATGATGAATCATTTTTTAAAACTGTTTTAAAATATGTACACAATTTACCAGAGCCTCACGGACATCTTTACTCGCTTAATTTGTTTCGTCACCCCCCAAAATACTACATTTACAATGATTTTAGAATATAGGATACATGATAATATAGAGCAGTAATGACATATTTGCAATTGGGAAGCTGAAAACAGTGAATTTTAGCCTGATTATTAACGTAATTGTACATTTTCTCTCAAATAACAATTGTTTCAGCATCACACCACTTTGGCAGCCAGTGTTCCCAGTCTGTTCTTGCTAAACTGCATTTCTACTGTATTTAAATGTAATAAGTGAGTGACGAGGCTCAAACTTACCTCTGCTTGAACTGGGTGATGAAAAGCCAGCAACCCTGTAAAAACAGAAAAATATGAGTAAAAAAACACAGACTGATTATTGTTTGCTTGCTGCAGTCACTGATTTTATTGCAGGAATGTGTCAGTAGTAAAATGTATTTTTTTCTGGCTGTTCAAAGAGGTAAGGTTTTTAGTGTTGTTGCTCCTAAGCTCAGCCTTGGCTGTATAACTGCTTGTTTTCTTGACATCACTTGAACTGCTGAGTACACCTTTGCATTGTTATTGCTCCTAAATTTACACTGATCAAAAATATGAACGCAGCATGCAAACGGTCTTCTTCTCTGACTTAAAAAAATAAAATTAAAAACCTAATTTGTATTGTTGTGACTTTAAAAAAATGGCTCAATTTAGGGGAGACAAATTCTTGACCACTGATTTAATCCACACTCTAATCAGGTGTGGCTTTAAAGGACAATGATCAGATAGTGTGAGCAGTACACAGAGACGCCTGTGACCAGTGACTGTAAAAGGTCACCTTAAAATGTAGCTTTACATAAATGACACGATGCCACAGATGACAAGAGAAAGAAGCGAACGGGCTGTTGTTTTCATGACGTCCATGCTGTTGTAGAGATGCCATGTCTATTTATATAGTATACTGGGAGGCTCTCTCGAGTAATTGTGTTGCTAATTGTTATAGATGTTTACCTGTCCTTTATGCGATGTTAAACCTTCAAGTTTAGTGTCATCTTTTATCCTTGGGTTCAATTTGACCCCAGCAATTTAAACCTCCAGAAAATTATCATCATTAACTTTGGTACCTAAGTTTATGTGTAAATATCCCTTTAAATAAAACTGAAAAAAATGTGTCAGTTACTTATTTAGAGACATTAAACATTGAATGGGGTCAAATTGACCCCAAAGATAATAGGAGGGTTAATGCTACTTCATTTCTGCCATTTGTACATTGCAATCACAGTGTTAGCTATGCAATATGCAAACTGTAAGTCTAAGGTTTTTAATAATGTGGCTTTAGCCCATTCATAGCCTAGGATTTTACCCATGTTGATGCAAACAACTTTTGGGATATATTTATGATTCTTACTTTCTGTATGTTATTTAAAGTTCATATTTTGCATTTCAGTAGTATGTGAGAATATACTGATTGGATACATCCACGTTCTATTTAAGATGGCTTCTCTTTATACCAAACCATTTGCACCAAAACATAACTTTTGAATACGCTCATCCCTCATCTACGCACCTGTCTCATTAAATAGATGTGTGAAGTCAACAACAAATATTCATTCCAGCATGTTGCAAAGAATAGTTAGAATTCAATGAAGCACTACATGCTGTGTTTATATTTTTGCTCAGTATGGATATAAAAGGCATGCAACAAAGCACACACAGGGTCAGTGCTGACACCGTGTCAGCAGATGGCGGTAGTGAGCACTGAGGCCATTCTGAGCTGATAGAAAAAAAACACAAACAACCACAAGAAAACCACAAAACCAAGATGGCGGTGCAAGAGACAGCATCTCAACTGTCCATGGCTCTTAAAGTCCAAGAATATCCCACCCTGAAGGTAAACAACAACAGGAACTGATATATATTGATAGTGTGGCGGTTCTGTTGTTGCCGAAATACGCGATGCGTGCGATGCTGTGTGGAAAATGTGAGTTAGCAGTTCATTAGATAGCGAGGGGAAGCGAACTTGCCAGGGAGGCTAACGTTAGCTGAGCTAGCCTAGCCAGGTGGCTAGCGTCTACAAACTACCTGTTTTCGGAGAGCGATAGAAAAAAATGAGTAGTTCTCTAAATAACACGAGCTGGTGGAAGGTTAGCTGGCTGTCTGCTGCTTTGGTGAGTTTTTGTTGATAACGTTGAGTGCGCTAAGGGCCCGAGAAGCTGTTAGCTGAAGTTTAAGCCTGTTGGTTTGGACAAGATGGTCCTTGTCAGGCTAGTCAGTGGACGCTACCTACCTACATATCTGACTTTACAATAATTTGACATGTAACAGCAGTGGCAGCGAACTGATTGGTGTATGTGTGCTCACGTTTAACGGCTGCGTTAGCCTGCTCACGCTGGAAAAAGAGGCGAAATGTTCGCATAAAGAATGATATATACGGCGTGATTGGTGTTATCGCTGGCAGAGCATGAAACAACATGGTTGCTCGTCCCTTCTGCAGACAGCCACGGCGTCAAAGAAATGACATGCAGACGTGATTGGCCTGCTAACGTTAGCTAGGTGGCTGTGGTAAGAAAAACCAGCATTAGCCATCTCTATCGTCGCGACAGACGAGTAGCCTACCCGGTACGTAACGTCGAGCATGCAAATTGTGGCCGTTTGGGAGATAGATGGGTAGAAATCGCCGGGGGAGAGCCTGTAACCCCACGCTGTTAGGCAGGGAAGCGGTCCTGCGAGTTAGCGCAGTGTCATCAGATTGCTGCTGCTGCTGCCTCTCTGCACTTCAAAATGGCCAGTGAGAGAAATCACAGGCTGCTGCCGCACACACACGCACTGTTCCTCCATTCCACATAACGTTACTGCGACACCACTGCTAAAAGACGAGCTGAAACAAGTCCGGGCTGCTTCCTGTGTGCAGCCGTCTCACACAGCAAGACAAGCGTCGTCGTGTAAAGCACGGCTGTGAGTACCAACGCATTGGCAGCTTTTGTGTAGTAACTAATGACATAACGTTGCCACGATGAATAGAACTAGGCATTTGGTGGTTGCTGGCGATGTTAAGATGTCTCTGTGTGCAGAATGCATGGCCGTGGTTTGGGGATGTGTCTGTCTTTGCTTGGATGCTGCAGTAAGATGATGGGCACCATTTTAAGACAGGAGTGATGGTTATAATTGGCATCAAATGGGAGTCTACATCTGTAGGAGAGCAGTGTTGATTACATTTGGAGCTATATTGAGCAGAATTATAATTTCACAGTGTTGCCTGACACAGTCACTGAGGAAGCCTCTAATCTGCATCACCAAATAATTACATTATGTGTTGGATATTCTGTCCTTGTGGATGTCTGCTCAGTGCATTCTCAATAGAAATAGTAACCCTGAAATATGTGTAGTTACTCATTTACATACGAAAGGGTCTAGGCTTTGTGAACGTGTTGGGTACTAATCTAAATGCTGAACATATAGGCCCTTCACAGTCTAATGACACTGTAATGTTGCGTATTTAACAAAGGGTTTGTATTCAAGGAGAGTCAGAATGGTCATATAGGGTTACTATACATCACCTGAGCCATGCGGTGAGGAATGTTAATATTCTGATGATCACGAGTGAGTAATGTTCACTGTTTGGAGTGAGCCTGTCTGTGTCTCTTGCAATGATCCACCTCTTAATAAATCATGAAAGACACACCATTATACTCAGTGTCAGCGTAATAATGTTGAAAACGTGTTCATGGCTAATTTACATGTCCACTGTCAAGTAAATCAAGGTCATGTAGAAAACGGTAATACTTAATTTATATGTATAGAATATATATATAAGGTCTAAGAGCCAGTCATAATCAAAAAGGCAATGTTTCAGTTTTCTAAAAATGGCCACTTTAATAGCAGATTTGTTGCAGTTGAATTACAGCCAAAATGTGTTGCACATGTTGCCACACCTCCTCACCTATTTTCCAATGTGGGCCAATGTAGATTATGTTGTAGTATACATCTTTTTAAATTATGTGAGCAGTGTTTATCATGATGTAGTAAATGTTCTTATTCTTACTGAAAAAGCTGTAAACGGATAAAATATCATTATTTGAAGGTCTGTAGCTTCTTATCACCTTGATTGCAACATTGCTTGAAAGGACCAACAGCCAAAGATATTGACTAGTTTGGCATAGATGGAATAGCACTATCGTCTGGGATGTAGCAGTCCAATATGTCTGATCAGCTGATCAGGTATTGTCCATGATGTTATTATTCCACAGACAGTGTGTTTGTTTGTAAATGTAGATATAAATTCAATGTTTCCCAGAACACTGTTTGCCGGTGTAGGTTTTGTGCCATAAGGCAAACATATCTCGTAACAATGATCGACTGAAGTCCATGTAGCTTTTAAATGCAAGTGGGAGCACAGGAAAACCGTCAATTATAACTGATTGATTTGGTAGTCTGTGGCACAAAGCAATCGTTGTTCGCTGGTCAAGCAAAACACGTCTGTAGCAAATTCTGATTTTGACGAATCATCAAGGGGGAAAAAACGCTCAAGGGGTTGATGTAAAGGCAATGCAGTGGTCATGCACGTTCCTAAGCAGAATATACCTGTTTCTGCCAACAGCAGACTCAAGAATGCTTATGAGTGCATACTCATCTGTTATGTGGCACAGTTAAATCTCTGAGACATAGAATCCCATTTGGGACTTTAGTTTAGAGCTGGATTTCCCAAATTCCAGCAAGATTTATTCTCTCATGTTTGCACATTTACATAATTTTCCTCCTCAATCTTAGTGATCTGTGAAATTAACTTGGCTCTAACTTGAAAGAAGAAAAAAAAATCTTTCAATGGAGCAAAGCGCCTCTCACTCTCCTTGTCTTTTTAAGCAATATCTTAAGACAAGGAACCACAAGGGTCACATGAAAGTAGTTCAGTTATTTGCAAAGTTGTCCTCGATTGTAGAATAAGGAAGAGAAGCACCTTGCTGTTTAGTTTACGTATTGATACTGGTCTCTAGATCTTGTTCAATACACACATCATTTGTGTAAGGTTAAACAAGGTTTGTATGGGAAATGATGTGGTTACAAATGCTGTTTTGTTGCTATATTTTACGCTGTGTTTTCATTATTCTTTGTGTGTTCGAACCCGAGAAGCGTACATGCTCGCTACATGCCACTGTGTGTTAACTGGTAAAGGGCACATTCTTTAGTTTTTTCTGCTGTTTTGTTTGTTAAGTCCTCTTTGTGATCTGGATGAGGCGCTCACTTATTACTGTTCTAAAATAAATAAGCAGAGATCGATCAGTCACATTATTATTCATATTATTTAATCTGCTTTGCTGCAGGACATATAGAAGGCTTCTAAATTCAGTGCGGTCAGTGTGTGGAAGGTAACCATGTTTTGGCTCAGATTGATGAAAAGTTGGAAGTTTTTTCAGAAACTTAAAAGGATGTAAAAAATGTTTAGTGTGAATGTCTTTTGCAAGGCCAGAGCTTTTTCCAAATGCATCATTAGTTAGAGTTGGTCACAGCATATATTAGAGACTGTTTAATCTTTAGATTATATTTATCATGTTGATTCAAGCTGATGCAGTATGAATAATGGGTGTACTGGAAGGATGCATAACATAACACCAGATGAAATTAAAAGTAGTTATGGTCTAGACACCAGAAGCAAGAAGGCCTGGATGACAGAATACATAAATTACAGCTTTGCTATGTAAACAACCTTTTACCTTCATCAGCTCGGGGTTATTTCCTTATTACTGAGCTGCAATGACAGTATGTGTAATTGTAAAAGTTGTGTACTTGTCCTTTGCTGCCACAAAACTTCTGCGTCTAATACAACATGTTAAATATCCTATGGGCTTTTCTTTACAGGTGCCATACGAGACTCTGAACAAACGTTTCAGAGCGGCTCAGAAGAACATCGACAGGGAGACGAGTCACGTCACGATGGTGGTTGCGGAGCTGGAGAAGACGCTGAGCAGTTTTCCGGTGGTCGACTCTGTGGTGTCGCTGCTGGATGGGGTGGTGGAGAAACTCAGTGCCCTGAAGAGGAAGGTGAGCTCTTCAGATGTACAAGCACACACACACACAGACATTTTTCCATGTTTGTGTATGTACAATCACATGCAGCCATAACTCACTGCAATTGTTGCGTCCCTCCAGATTGGCGAGGGAGCCTTGCTCAGTTTCCTTCCCTGAGTTTTGCTAAAGGAGTGAAATTTGAAGCTTTTTAAGATAGTATTTCTAAATATTTATTTTCTACACTTCAGTGCAAAACAGAAGTGCCTAAATCTTTTTCTATTTCTGTTCACTTACAAGCAACAGCCAACAAAATAGATCTTTGCCACCATTTTTGTTATTATGAGTGGACAGATATCCTTTAAACAAACAGCTTTTTCACATTTTCTGTTTGACCCCAGCAGAGTAAAGCTCTGTTGCCTCTGTCTCTGTGGTTGCTTATCTTGTGTCCCAATAAAGCTGAGCACACAATGGAGCTTTTGTCAGTGTCATATCTCTCCATTTATGTTTTAAGAGAACTGCTTTTGTACAACATAGCGATCACAGAGATAATCAGAGGCAACAAAAATATTGGCTCAACATTGCTGGCTAGTGCAACTATGTCAGCTTTGTTTGTGGAAAGTTTTCCTGTTTTTAGTTCTGTTTTCTCTGTTGTTAATCGACTTAAAGGCCACTGTTTTCAAATGTTTGGGCCCTATGTTTGAAGTTTGGCCTTGGATAGAGATGAAACAGTTTGCAGAAGGCCAGGAGATCTTCATCTTACTTTGAAAAGCTCTGAGGAAGACAAACACTTAAACTTTATTTATTAGAAGATAAAATAGACTTTACATTTAAGAAAGCCCTACACTCACCCATTCCTCTGTGTTTATTAAAAATCAAGTACTGGTATTGGCCCTGGTGCTGACCTTTTCCAACACAGGATCTTACTGACCTGTGGCTGAACTTTACTGTTGTCCAAGGCTCTGCTTTTGTTTCCACTGCTGTCCACCTGGTTCAGAGACAACCTCTGGGAATTACATTTATGCACCTTTAGAAAGTGGTACTAAATAAAGGTGGATAAGGGATAAGAAACTCTGTATGTCTGTCTAAAAAGTACTCGTGTTGTTTGAGGAAAGGGGACAGTACGTTAACTGTGGGGGGAGCAGGTCAAACATTTCTGTGAGCTTGTGTTTTTCTTGTTTTACAGGTTTGCTCAACTTGAGTAAAAGTCAGCCTCAAGTCTGTGTCATTGTCGACACAGACACCCCGTATTTGACATTGAAAACATTACCACAGGGCTGCTGGTTCTGCAAAATTTTAGTCACAGTCTGGTGGCTTGCGTGTCGGATCCCGACCAATTTGTAAAATATTGTGCAGAAGAACGGCAGAACGAACCACATAAGGGTCATTATGCTCAGTATCACTATGCAGCAGTATTTCATCTGCAAATAAGATCTCACTTCAGCCAGAGCCAACTATTAAAAGCTACATAACTTGCTCCTGTTAACAAAAGCCCTTCACTGTGACTGTGGTTTCTTTATAATGGTAAACCTGCGGCCTTGGTGGATTGTATTTGTCTGCCAAGGAATGCTGCCTGGTTGGTTTCTGTACAGCCTTTTCAAAAAAAAAAAAACACACAAAAACAGCAATCAAAGCACACTTGTGCACTTTTTTTTTTTTTTTTTGCTATTTGCCAACATGTTGTTCAGCAGGTGCTTTCAGAACAGACATCATCATTGTGTTCAAAGATAGGGCATACTGTGCTGATTTGCAGGGGGTGTGGGAACCTTTTCCTACAGTGAGGAGTTTTCCAAAAGCCAAAAATAAAATCTGTGCAAGTGAACAAAGCAGAATGAACTAGAGAACAAAAGCAGTGCTGTTTAGATTATTTAATCTTAAACAGCAGGGTGCAAAGAACAGTGAACATATGAGATAATTATGTGATAAAGGGCACAGTTTCCTTACTCATGTTTCGCAATTTCTGGCACAAATAGATCATGTAGCAGTGGGAATATAGTTCTAAATTTGTGTGAGCCTTTATGTTTGGGATATGCAACTTACTTCCTTCTTCTAACAGTTTATCTGTACAGACTCAACAGTTTTTAAGGTTATAAATTTCTTTGGTGATTGTAACACCAGCTCTGTTATGTCATAAACATAATCAGCTCAGGTAATTACTGCTTAGTTAACTTTCTCAGCACAAGTTTCCAGAAATGGGAAAACCTGGTTGATCTCTTGTTATGATCCCAACATTTTGCAATAAATTAATTTATATTATTAAGGGTTTTTGACCATCTATTAATTTCAACTTGCACCTGTTTTACATTCAGTGCATTCAACAGTTTTTTCTTAATTGTACTGGATTCTATGTCCCGTAGGCGGCCGAGTCCATTCAAGCAGAAGACGAGAGTGCCAAACTGTGTAAGCGCCGCATCGAGCATTTGAAGGAGCACAGCAGCGACCAGCCGGCTTCAGTCAATCTGTGGAAGAAAAAACGCATGGACCGCATGATGGTGGAGCATCTGCTGCGATGCGGTTACTACAACACAGCTGTTAAACTGGCCAGACAGAGCGGTATAGAGGTAATTGTTGGTGAAAGTCCTATGTTGTCCTAAGGTCCTTGTGACAATATAAAAGTTCTTAAAGTTTATATAAAAGAAGTGCACATAAAATCGAAATCCATACTCCACATGCAGTAACATGTATGCAAGAACATCTCATACAGAACTAAATGACATGGTCAAGTAATACTCACTGATGCTGCTGGAAACTTTAACTATCTGCACATTTACTGAGTGCTGTGACTTGTTAATGTACAGTATTTATTGTTTAAAAAAAACCTGTTAACTGGAGTACTCAATTTAGTTTTTAGAATTTAATAGTCCCCACAGAGTTTACCTTATATCTTGCCTTCAGTTGTATAACTTCTCTTTTGTTCTTTTTTTAAATTCTTCTGATTGCCTGTGGTTTGTTTTTAGGATCTGGTGAACATTGAGATGTTCCTCACAGCTAAGGAGGTGGAGGAGTCTCTGGAGAGGCAGGAGACAGCCACTTGCCTGGCCTGGTGCCACGACAACAAGTCCCGCCTCCGCAAGATGAAGGTAGTTTATTTGCGAGTAAAAGTTTAGCTTTGTGAATTTAAAAAAGATTAAATTGGGGCCTGACATATACTTTAAAGCCATTTCAAAAAATAGGTTTAAGTCAACAATATAGATAATATGAAGCAAGCTAAACGGTGTGGGCAAATACTTGTTCAATGTATCTGCAGTATTCCCAAGAGAAGTCCTTTATAGTTGTCAAAAATTATGTTGAAAATGACTTTAAAGACCCATCAGAGAATTTATTTTCTGAACATGAACATGTGGGGGTTTTTTTGTTTGTTTTTTTTACATGCTAAAAGACTTTTCATGAGCAAAATGAGCATTCAACACCATAACTAAGCACCATGCAGCTGAAGTGTGTCTCAGGAACACAGATTTAGATTTCTAGAGTTTCATAATCAATCAGTTTATAGGGCGGGACTTTCCGTATCATTACTGTTCCACAGAATCGGTTTCTGGTTCCAACAGATACGGCTGAATTAGTCCAGTACAAGTTACATCTTGTGTAGTGCGGAGTGATTTAACAGTTTTTGAGCACAGTTCTTGTTTCTGGGCTGTTGTAGGTCCTACTGTTAGTCCTTTTTATGTGACTTTAGTCCAACCTGGCAGTGGAACATCCAGCACTATTGTTCCAGTCCTTAAATATTTATGTGTGGATCTTTCTTTTATAATTGGGATAAGTTTTGCCCGCTTCATCCACACACCCATTCATCCGTCCATTTTCTGCCTCTCATCCTGGTCCAGGTCATGTGTAGTTATTAGTGAAAGATATTGTTAGGAATTGTTGCTATTTACTGCTGGTGGGAAGTACTGAGTAAAATTAGATACAAATGTAAGTACGTTCATGCACTTGGTAAACAACTTAGGCTTCATCATCATTACTGCTTTTCAGTGATATGTGTGTTATAAATAAGAGCCACAAGTTTAACTTGGTGAACTCAAGAAACCCTGTTATTGGTCCGTACATGCCTTATTCTGCTCTAACTAAACAAGAATCAGTGCTTGAACAAAACAACACTTTGTTTTGTCCGAAACAGCCAGTTAAGATCTAATCACTCTTCTTGGGGTTTTGCTACGAGTGGCAGCAAGTTAAAGTGTTAATCCTAAGATTATCCTGTTAAACCACAAAGAGTTCAAACCTGCGCCAACACATAATAAGGTTCCTGGTTAGCTGTTACTTTGACAGTCAGCTTTTTCGCATGAATAGCACTGCAGAAGATGTTTAAAATGGATCAGTTTTCTGTCTGCTTCATCATTGAGCCATCAATTGGTAAAAGATGAATTGTGGGGGATTTGCACCGCTTTCAGTGGTTTCAACTTTTTACTCCTCTTTTGGCAGAGTTGTCTTGAGTTCAGTCTGAGAATCCAGGAATTCATCGAGCTCATCAGACAAAACAAACGCATGGATGCAGTCCGGTACTTGACACGAATCACAACACACACATAACTTACGTCTTTATAGACCCCTTCACAATTTTTTAACCATTATGATAACCACTTTGTTGCGTTTCCACATTAGAAACACGACAAGTACTGAGTTTGTGTTTGTGTCTAACAGACATGCAAGGAAGCATTTCAGCCAAGCAGAAGGTGGACAGTTGGATGAGGTTCGGCAGGTGATGGGCATGCTGGCCTTCCCATCAGATACACACATCTCCCCATACAAGGTAACACGAATGCTCTTTTCTAGTGTGAATTTTTACATGGATAAAATGTCATTTGGTCGGACCCCTGTCGCACACTTACAGCACAAGCAGTGCTGTGTTATACCTGCTAGGGATTTTATCATTTTGAAAGCGGTTTATGAAAAGCTTTACACACTGGAGCCTCTTTGGACACCCCAATTTATCATGTCATGAAATGGAGCTGTCAACAGTATGTACTCATCGTGATGAGCTACAGATTGTATAAAACTTACCAGATAGTCTAACATCAACTTTGCTTATTAGTAAAAAATATGCTACTGAAATTGTTGTGTGTGTTAATGGAGGTCAAGCAGAGAATGTGTTCTAGCAGCAAACCAGCCACTAGAGGGCCTCTGTTGTCTTTGACAAAAATAAAACCCTCTTTGTGCTACTTCAGATTAGTCCTTGGGTATCTGCTATCAGTAACAGTGTTATTTTTAATTTCCATTCCCACTCAAAAGAACTCTGAGTTGTACCATGGCACCGTGATAGCAGTGCTTTATCTCATAAAGCATTTGGCTTTATCTGCTTGGAAGGAAGATAGAGCAAGCAGACTACTGTTAAAACATTTTTGCCAGCTACATGTGCCAGTGTGACAGAAGCATAACTGAGAACTTCTGCCAGCATGTTTGCAAGGCAGTGCATTTACAGCTTACATTATTATCATAGCTGTTTTCTCAATACTGAAATCATAATTAGATGATGATTACAGAAGATTTCCTCTACATGACATCGCTGTGAAAGTGTAAAGCTGCATATTAAATATAATTACATATAAAATCAGGCTGAGTGACAACGCTGCCACCATCGGTTCGAGCTGAATACCAGGAATTTAAATGCAATTGTAACTTAATTTGGACCATCTGTGGACATTAGAATTTGGAGCTCCAATGTCTTTGTGGCGAAAACACTCTGGCCTGCAGGCGCAGCTGTGTTTGGGAAGCAGAAAGCTGTTAATCGGTATGCTCAAAACAAACGTCACTGAAAATCATCTTAACATGTGAATAGGCAGATGCACCAAAGCTGGTACTCAAAACACAAAGCCTTTGTATGACTGTGTATCACGTTTAATCCAGAGTGAAAGCCAAAATTGTGTTGTTTTTTTTTTTGTTTTTTTTTTTAATCATTATGCAATAAAACGGCCTTACTGTATGACATGTTTGTCTACATGGTGAGACTTTAAAAAAATTACCACAGTGAGTACAAATACCAATCTTACAGTGATGATTGACAGGCACATGACTTACAAATTCAATGCATCAACATCATTTGTTCATCTTATTAGTCTTCTTTCATCATATAATCTATATAGCAAATCTGCTGTTGCTTTTCTAAACACACATAATCTAATGCGTGTCTGTTCTTCAAAAGAAAGGATACTTTCTCAGTTGTGCTTGTTAAAAGTTTCTTCCATTTTTTTCCCCCCAAATCAAGGTTTAGAGGATGGTTTCTGCTGTAAAGATGGTAGCCCCTTGTGGCAAATTTGCTATGCAGGGTTATATAAATACAATTTACTTGACTTGGGAAAGTGGTTGTAAAAAAAACTTTGCTTTTTTTGTATTTTGTTCCATTAGGATCTTCTGGATCTAGCTCGTTGGAAGATACTGATCCAGCAGTTCCGATATGACAACTACAGACTGCATCAGCTGGGAAACAACTCTGTCTTCACTATCACTCTACAGGCTGGTCTGTCTGCCATCAAGACACCGTATCCTTTGAGTCAAGTGTTTAGTTACTCATCCCATGTGATTTTTCACTCCTTAAACTGTCTAAGAATGCAGAGCATGACATTGTTCTAAAGGGAATAAAGTAAACAGACACATGTTTTGAACCAAAGACAAAATGAAGTAGTGAGCTTCTGCTAGTTTTGTGGTGTGTACCTTGTGGCTGGATTTTATCACACATGACAGTTTTTCTTATTTGATATCTCTGCTCATCGCTGTCTAATTGACGGCTCGCACTACAGCAGTTGTAAAATCCTAACACATTAAAATGGGGTTGCATTAAGCACATGAGGAAAAACTTAAGATGTTTTTGCCTTAAATCTCAGACATAGAGACAAGATTTGAAAATAGCAGTGTGTCACCCGACAGGATACGATTAGGATTATTGTGGCAGAGGGAGCAGTGTATCAACCCACAGATCTTAAAGTAGAGACCGGTGCAACAAGTTGCTCTAACATAAACAATACTTGGCAGTGAGCTAGAAAAAAAAACAAGAGCACAAGGCTTAACAAGGAACCTGGATGATCAAATGGTTTGTGAGATGTTATCAGCATAGGTTGTCTATTGCTCAACGAGAACTTGAGGTGTTTAATATTACTGGCGTTGCACAATGCAAGTTCGGGAGGTTAAAGGCAGGATTCGTAAACCCCTCGCATTACCAAATAATCTGGGCTGGACATCAAATCAGACTAAGGTCCAAGACTGGATTTCTCCTCCGATGGTTGGGAGGGGTGAAACGGGGGTAAATCTCCCCAAAACTGCTGTAGTCTGAGTCTGGCATTAGGACGGTGTCCTCTGAGAGACCCTTAATAATGTCGTACAGTGAGAAATATGTTCCCTAAAGTACATTGTGATCCTTAATGCCCATGTCTGTTCCAGTCAGTGCTACAAGGAGGATGGCACCTCTAAAAACCCAGACTGCCCAGTGTGCAGTAAATCTCTTAACAAGTTGGCCCAGCCTCTACCTATGGCCCACTGCGCCAATTCCAGACTAGTCTGTAAGATCTCTGGGGAGGTCATGAATGAAAACAACCCTCCCATGATGCTGCCTAATGGATACGTCTATGGCTACAATGTAAGTGCCTGCACCTTGGACTGTGTAAAGCTGTTTCTGTTAATGTGAAATCACTTCAACTCTCTGAACCCAAAGCTGTTTCTTCTTTTCACATAAAGTCACCTTAAAAGAAACAGAACAGCCAAGAAGTAGAGACATCTCAAAAATGTCTTCCATTCAGTGTGACAGTTACTTTGCAATTAATCATGCAACAGAGAAAACGCAGAAGTTGAATTATTTATTTATTCAACAGAAATTGAAAACATCTGACAACAATTTGTACAACAATTTTCCAAGTGCTCACAGTTTTTTTTCCAAATGAAACCTAAAGTCACACATGATATGTTCAGGGATGGGAAAGTTAAAAAAATCAGAGAGTTCTTTATGTTTTCACAGTTTCTGGTTCTGATAAATGGTGGCTCTGATAACTTTTTTTCAAGCACTATGTTTCTTAAACCTGCTGGTGGGTTTTGAGTTACACAGGGTTAAAAAGCAGAATGGACACAAGTCATAAAACTGTAATGTTTAATTTATTGTTCTCTGTCTATTATCTCTTCCAGTCCCTTCTGTCCATTCGTCAAGATGACAAAGTGGTGTGTCCTAGAACCAAAGAAGTCTTCAACTTCTCTCAGGCGGAGAAGGTCTATATCATGTGATCACTCAGATGAAACAACTGAGTGTTGACAAGATCAAATATGGCCTGTTGTCCATCACTTGTGACCTGGCCTACTCAGAGCCACCTGTGGAGCTGTGATCCAGTGCCCTTCTGCCCCCCACCCCCCACACCCCCCACAGACATACCTGAGATGCCCTTCAAGCCTCCCTGTCCCCCTTCCCCATTCATCAGCGCATCCAGTTTCCCCTCCCATTTGATCTCACAGAAACTGGGCTCTTCTCCTTTCAGACTCTGTTTTAGATGTGGCTAGAAGTCATTTGATCTGATCCATTCAAGCACATGGACTATCAACATTGTCATTATCTTACAGGCCTTCACTCTGAAGATTAGAGACAAGAGAAAAGGACTGATGGGGTGAAAAACTGCTAGGTAGATGTTTGATTTTACTACAACAAATAAAAAAAAAAACTTGTTGAGGTTACTTGGACTTTTTTTTTCCTTTTAGTAGTGGTGTTCCTTTGTTACTTAACAAGTGGCGGAGACGTATTAACTCAATGCATTAACCAGATTAACTCAAGATTTGGGCCTTTTTCTAAACAAACATGACTGCCTGTTCACATTTCATTATGTGGTGCATGCTGTCAACATCCCTTTGTCTTCTAGCCATGTTTTTAGTGGTTGTTGGAGGGAAATTTGTTAAATGCTTCCTTTTAAACTGCCTAACTTCTGAATTTTATCCTCCCGTTGACTGAAACTGGAGTCTAGTTTGGGCTGCAGTAGGCTCCTTTTCAAATGTAAATATTAGATAGGAATTGATCATCCTCATTTATACATTCAGGAGTTTTAGGGACAAGTTACGACAATGAAGATTAACCTTCTGTGAAGATTGCTGTGTAAACTGAACAAGTCTTTTCTTGGGTGTTACAAACTTGATATAGCCTGCAGTATCCTCAAGTTAACTGGTTCAGTATAATTTTTCATTTCTGAAAATCCTTATAGTTTCACAATTGGTGATATTAGTTACAGACTGGTGTTTTTGTTTTTTTTTTACCATCATGAAATTTAAACAAACTATTCAAACAAGAAAAATCACCTCTGATGTTTTTTGTTTTTTTTTTTCTTTCCAAATGAACAAACTGTCTTCCTTTGTTGTGTGCGAGATTTGGTCTTAACTTCATTTCAATCGATGCTTGATATTTATTTTGTCTAAAAAGGAGACCCTGGGTGATTTTTGTCAATTCAACATTGCACATCGTTTTAATTTGATTACTGCTTTCCCAATGAAGAACAAGATAACAAAAGGAGGGACTGTGCTCATAGTTTTTCATTCTTTTGTCTGCCTATGCGAAAGCTGCTTGCAGCACCAACACTACAGGGTTTACGAAGCATCAGCGTACACCAGCCTCATCATCACATCCTTCAGTTCCCGGCACATGCCCAACCTTTGTTTAGTACATGGTTAAAACCTCCACAACACTGTTGATTTACCAGTCCTGCCTTTACTAACAAAGTCAGAAGGAAAATCTTGTGGTCACCTGAAAATGTGACTCATTCTCATCCTTTATGACTTTGAAACTTACTGTAGATGATGGTATGTAATGTGGATAAACAGAGAATGAGTTTTGACTTCATTTTCAACAAATCACACTGAAATTTAACCCTGAACACCCATAGAACGCAATCCAAAAATGCAGATTTATGTTTAACATGATCAGTTTTGTGGTCAGTCTTTTCTTTCATCTGGTGTTTATCGACAAACTAAGTCGCCTCATTTGTGTCCATCAATGATTTGGAACTGTATCTGTGCAGACACAGACTGTCCTGTGTGTTTGTGTTGGTAGAATAGAAATAGGGATTGTTTCATGAGCAATATGTCTCATAAAGATTTCAGCGAACTTTGATTTCAGTGTTTCTTTATTTGCAATACCTGCTTTGCTCTGTGGGCTCTCTAAAACCAGCATTACCATAAGGTGTGGTAGGCGTGAGGAGATTACCGAGCAATTGGGACTCTGTTGACATGGAAATTCAACAAAGTGATGCGTCTCTCACTTAAAACTGCCTCTCTATTGTCCAAGGAGGTCAGCATTCTGCGTGGGGGTGGTTTTTTGTCCCCGGCAATGGAAAACATGCATACAGATGTGCTGTATGGTTGGTCATTCACCTGCAAAGTGGACTTCATGGCAGTAAAGAGACAGAAACCTAACTTGGCAAATTGATGAGGCAACACTATTGACTTGGATCTATTTGTTGCTCTATACAAAAGCCAAAACTTAAAAAAGAAAAACCCTTTGTAATCATACACTTTTGCTATGTAAAAAAAATAAAATAAAAAAAAAGGCTCCATAGACAAAGCCACTAATGAAGTGTGTTAGTAGATAGAAATGAACAACTTTAAGGATAAGATACATTTTCTCTTTATTCTGTAAAAATAAAATAGCAAAAATACAGTACATTTTCAGAACCCAAGACAACACCTTCAGTTTGCTTACCTTGGCCTACCAACAATAAAAATACCCAAAGATATTCAGATCGCAATAACAGTAGAAAACCAGCAACTTCTTACATTTCTATCTCTTAAAATTACAATTTCAAAATGTCATCAACCAATACATTTTCCGACGTGGCTCTTTAATAATAATAAAGGAGAATGAAGGCAATTTAAAACACCAAAGAAAGTGGTGTCATGTTCTGCAAAAAAAAGCTCACAAACTTTAAAGCTGCATTTGATCCATAAATCCTGTTTGGTTCTCAGATTGTTGCACTCTGTCATGATTCTAAAAATTAGGATTTTTTAAAATCAGATTTACTGATACCAGCAACTCAGTAACTTAGCCTATAGAAAAACCCAGTAATACCAGAGGCCCCGGTTTTAAGCTTTACACATGATGCATCATTTAACATTAAGGCACCATTATAACCTCACTTAGGAGGAGCAGAGGCTTTAAGTAGATAACAGGTAATAGAGCTGCAACAATGAATGTACTAGTTATCAGCTATTAAAATGGATCATCCGCTATTTTGCTAGTTGATTTTTATTTATTTATTTTTTTATTGTAGAAACTTTTAAATTCTCTCTCTTCACTTTCTTAAAAGTGTATAATTCCTGGTTTATTTCCTCTGTGACAGTAAACTGAATGTCTTTGGGCTGTCCACATTTGTCATGTTGGACTTCAGGACACTAACCCCACTATTTTCTTACATCCAAAGACCAAACTAATGAATTGATTGAGATAATAGTCGATTGATTACGAATCAAAATAACTGGTAGTTGCAGCAATATTAGATATCAGTTTATGTTCAAGAAAGGCAGTCGTTTGGTTTTCATGTTTAGGACGCCAGGTCCATAAGAGCAAAGCTGTCCTCCCCAAATGTAGCGCATCAAAAACACTAAAACGGTGTTAATTCATTTATATTGTTTTTTTTTTATTTATTTATTTTTAAATCACTAGCATTTAATAATGTAATGTCATACGTTTTAATCAAAAATATCGACTGTCCTTATTTCTACAAAAGAAGGAAGAGCGGCGCACAGAAGGCGGGGCCGACTTTCAGCTGCTGCGTCGTCACAGCTCGTCCGCTACAAATACAGCCGCCTTCTTCCTCCTCCGCCATCTTGAGATCAGCGCATTGTTGAAGTCGTTCGGAGATCTTCAGCGTATTCGAAAATGAGTGACCAGCTTTGTAAACTTTTCGTCGGTGGACTCAACGTGGACACCGACGACGATGGCCTGCGAAAGCATTTCGAGGGGTTCGGTACGCTCACCGACTGTGTTGTCGTCGTAAACAAGCAGCTGCAGCGGTCCCGCTGTTTCGGCTTTGTAACCTACTCCACGCCGGAGGAGGCCGACGCTGCAATGGCGGCTAGGCCGCACACCGTCGACGGCAACGCGGTTGAGGTGAAGCGAGCTGTGGCAAGAGAAGACGCCAACAAGCCCGAGGCCCTCGCTAAAGTGAAGAAAATCTTCGTTGGCGGCCTCAAAGACGACATTGAAGAGGAACATCTGACCGAATATTTCTCCCAGTACGGTCAAATCGAGAAGGCCGAAGTCATCTCGGAGAAGGAGACGGGAAAGAAAAGGGGCTTCGGCTTTGTGTATTTCACCGACCACGACGCGGCCGACAAAGCAGTTGTGGTCAAGTTCCACACCGTCAATGGACACAAAGTTGAGGTAAAGAAAGCCCTGACCAAGCAGGAGATGCAGGCAGCCAACAGATCCGGGATGGCGCCGAGGGGAAGACCTGGTAGAGGCATGAGGGGAGGTCAAAATGGCTACGGCAGGGATTATGGCGGAAACTACAACTACGGAAATGGAGGCTACAACTGCAGCGGAGGATACGGCGGAGGGTACGGCGGACCATATGGGGGCTATGGTGACCAGGGAGGCGGCTATGGCGGTGGAAACGGCTACAGCGACTTTGGCACCGGCTATAACCAGCACTCTTCAAGCTACGGTCCCATGAAAGGGCCTTTTGGCGGCCAGAGGAGCGCTGCTCCCTACAGCAGAGGCGGCGGCGGTGGCTACCCGAGGGGGGCCTACGGCGGCGGCTACTAGATGAGACTGCACCGTGGAAAGCAACCAACCCAACCCCTGCCACCAATTACTCCCAGCCAGGATTTGGACGCCAAAACTCAAAGTCAGTAACGAGGCGTCTGCCGTGCAATCCGACCATGGCAGAGATACGGACAGAGATCCCCTTATCATAATGAAGACCTCAAAAACCCAAACAGGTAGGAAGGTCACTTCCCAGAACACCTGATAATAACGAGCAGCAGTTGTTGCCGTTCGACTAGGACACATTAACGAAGAATTACACAGCGATCCCCTTTTATTATGTAACCACGCCACTGGCGTGTAGTTGTCGTTTAGAGTTGAATTATTTTTTATTTGCGTTCATTCGTTGTTTTGAAATTTCAATGTAGGATTGTTTTGCTTACAAGTTCTGATTATTTTAATATTTGCATTTTACGCAGTTTAGATTCGACTTTGTTTTCTGGAATAAATTTAGTGTGATTTCAATGTATGAGGATGAGAAAGCATGTTATGTGGTTTTCATAGCTATGTCATTCTGATATCAGTTTGTATAATTACTTACCTGGATCATTCAGCAAAGGCGGGAACGTGATACTGCAGGATCCAGTTTCCTTGTTTCCTTCCCCATTATTGTACTTAAACTCCTCACTCATAGTCATAGTTTCAGTCTAAATATTGTTCATTTTTCACTACCTGTAGCAATATCTAATGTATATTGTATACTTTCATGTCTGCAGAACAAAACCTACTGTTAAAACACTTTGGTATGCTTATGTATGTTCATTTTAAATAAAACGTTATACCACTTAGCTTAGTTATTTTACTTATTTAACCAGGCTTCCTCAAGTTCATCCACAGGTTTATAAGACATCATCTTGTTCTTTAGTTACATGGCATCATTCCCACAGTTTATTCCCTTACTCTCAGGTGGGTGAAATGGTTACAGAATGGTTGTAGTCTACCCACGGCCAATGCATGTAGGCTTTGTAGGGTGTGACCTTTTGTTTTAAAGTTATGTGGTTTTTCTTTTTCTCTCTCTCTCTTTTGTTTTTTTTTTTGTTTTTTTTTT